TTTATCAAAAGTTAAGATTTTTTGCCTTTTGTCACCCACCCTACCAAGATACTTTTTACAATGATTAACCAAATGACTTCTTAAAGTACTAGTCCCATATTTCTTAGCCCCACAGACATAAGATTGCCCACAATATTTACACTCACACTTGACATCTTCATCTTTTTTATCTCCCCTTATAGTGAAATGATCCCATACATCCGAAGTTCTTCTATTATGTTGTCTCTTCCCTAAACATGACGGTGGAATTGGAGGAAGAGTAGTAGTATTTCTACCTGCATTTGGTGTTGCTGGGGTTCCACCAATATATTCACACTCATCGTCAATATCCATCGTCAAACCTGTACAAAGTTTGCACGTATTACAACAAAATTCAGATTTTTTTTAGTTGAAATTGCTATACATGGGATCTAAATAAGCAGGCACAAATGGCCTAAGCCCAAATCCCTCAGATATCAATAAAAATGGAGGGGAAGGAGTTTGTTGGGGATTATTTAATGGCAAAGAAATCAGATTCACACTTTAATTTTGTATTTTAAATAGTCAAGAAAAGCTTTCCAAATTTATAAACAACCAACTCATGACCGGAAGAAGAGGTATCAGTAATCCATATGAAATTAGTCTACAACCAACTCAATCCATAAAAAAAAATACCTCTACAACAAAAGATTCATATAAAAATCACTCTAGNTACAACCAACTCAATCCATAAAAAACTCACTCTACAACAAAAGATTCATATAAAATATACTGCTAGCACAAAGACTTAAGAACACAAAACTCGAACCAGATCAAACAAATATTGGATTTCACTTTCAGGCTACGGAGTCGATTTCAGGCTTTAGAAATAACTTACTGAGTTGATTAGGAATTTGGATTGCAACGGGAGAGTCTGAGTGTCTGAGACGGCGAGAGATTGGAGAGACCGAGTCCGAGAGCGAAGCGTAGCGTAGGGTTGCAGATCTGATTTTCCTTTTTAAAAAAAATTATAACCCGTTATTGGTTTGGGCTGGGTCGATTCACCACGGGTTTGAGGTCTCAGC